GTTCATGTGTGAATGTTCATGTGTGAATGTTCATGTGTGAATGTTCATGTGTGAATGTTCTCGTGTGTCAGTGGATCCGACTCTGAATCACTGATGTTTTACGTTGAGCTGGATTCAAACCTTCAGATGTTTGATCAAATGTTCCACCAGTTGAGCCGCTGTCGTCTTTTACTCTGTTTTTACTGAACTCACAGGAGAAGTTGAATCATTTCTGTGTGAGTCGGTTGTAATTTTCCACAAATTATTGCATTTCCAAAGAAATAAACAAATATAAATATCTAAAGTAGTTAATTAAACAGACAAAATATCAGTCAAATAAACTATTAGTAAAACATGTTGAATCACAAAGAATCAAAATATCAGTGAATAATATTGATAAAACAATGTTGATATTTGTCATAAATAATACAATTTTAAAAAGTATTATATTTGTTAATAGCGTTATTTTCTTGTCTATGTTAAAAATCCCCATAATGTCCAAAAAAGTCCCAGAGTCTGTAAAGCGTCTGATGTTTCAGTTGGAGACAAACGTGTGGCCTCGTGTTTGTGTTTGTGTGTTTGTGTTTGTGTGTTTGTGTTTGTGTAGATCTGTAGATGTGTGTTCTCTCTGTGTCCACTGGGGGGCGCCGGTGCAGTTCATACAGTCCCATAAACCTCCTCTAACATCACTCCACACAAACTCTTTTAAGGTCAAATTAAACAAGATGTCGACACTCATTTGTGAAATCAGTTTGTGGGAAAAAAAAGTGGAGAAGAAAAGTGCAAAAATACAGAAAGAAACGCTGAATTTTAAAACACAAACACAGAAAACTCCATCCAAAACTGTCACTGTGTATTTTTATTTTGATCTATTCTTTATTTGTACAGCTCATAAACAGACCTGGAGGTGTGTTGTTTGTGTTTTCAGTGTCTCCTTTTCATTAGTCCAGACGTGGGCAAACTTTCTGGCTCGTGGGCCACAAAGGTTCTAAAATTTGACAGGAGGGTCGGACCAGGAGAAGTTGTGTAAAACATAAACAAATGTGGCAAAGCTGAATTATCTGATCAAACAGACTGATGTGGTTATGGTTTTATTCAGTAAAGTTGAGTTTATTTCTGTGTGTGACTTGTACAATGTTTGGAGACGTTGGGTTTGACGTGTGCAGTGTGCAGCTCCTCACCGCTCGTTAGAACCTCCCGAGTTTCCTCTGCTGAAGGAGCTCGACCGGGACACTCCACTTGATCATGTCACAGGGATGTGAGTGTTTCTCAGGCGCATGGAAACACAGTATCTCCAACACTGACACAACCAGGATACGGAGAATAACTGGAACAGTGATGTGCACAGGCCCAGAGCCTCAGATCTGCAGATAAGACGCTCACCCAGAGCCACGTGTGTCTGGAGCCACATCGTGTTTAACCGTCACCATATTTACTAAAGCCAACCTGCCTAAACTGGAAATTCCACTGACTGATATGTGCGACTGTAACACTCCCCTGTACGAGCCAAGACCAAACCAAATCTTAACAAGCCCAACCAAACCTCCCTCTAAAAACACAGTCACTTTTTTATTCCAAAGCTCTATGTGTGAAAACTTTATAACACGACATTCACAAGTCTGACAACTTTATTTAGTACAGTTTAAAACAGAATCAGTGCAGTGTTTTTGTCTTGAACACTTCTGCTTCGCTCATGGTCCGAATGGGGGTCGGCCTCATCATCAGAAGAGCCTCTAGTCAGAAAGTCCATGTTCAGGTCGTGTTACAGATTGTTACAAATGAAATTGTATTTCAAGTTTTAAATATTTTAAAAAGTAAATATTAAAAGTAATAAATATATTAAACCCTTAAAATTCAGCAAAAATGTTTGAGGAAATAATGATTTGGGTGAAAATGGCGTCTTAAGTGGAACAGGGTTAATAATTGTCTGATTTTCAGGCAACAAGTTGCAAAATGTTCAGTAATTCGAGCTCTACAACCTTCATTTCAATTTTATTTTAAATCTTTTTCTTTTAATATAACATTGGTGTTGGCCTTAACTAATGTTGTTATACATGATTATGTGTTTTCCTGTCAATATCTCTAAACATTTTGATGTTGCAGCCATTTTTAATTGGTAAACATCCAAAAGTTTACTCATTCTTCCCTGATATTCAGAGATTATTCCCTGTTGCTTTCATCAAATAAACATTCAGTTGTTCAAGAGAAAAGTTCCTGATAAACCAATAGAAGAGGGAAGGATTTTCTGACCAGTGGATCTTCTGATGATGAGGATGGAACTGGTCCAAATACACCGACCGACAGTGACTCCTGTCATAGTCTGATAAAACTCTTTCCCATAAAGCACTGCGGCCAACAGAATACACCACACCTCAATGTATATGTAGTGCGCCATCTACTGGGAAACACTGGAAATGCAGGAAAAATAAAACATCAACAAGGTTTATTATTGTAATTATTCAAGTTCAACGGGCCAGATTAAAAGGTTTAAAGTTCCACTGTGATGTCATGAAGTGGTAGTTTTCAAATGAACAGCTCCTTTTACCTTTAGTTCAGCAGAGATTGAGGTTCCCAGGGCTGAAATGATCCAGAAGATTCTAGTGAAGTTGTGTGGAGTTTAAAAACATAAAGGAGCACTTCCTGGATCACCACATGATGACATCACGAGGTGGATCAGAGTGTTTTATTTTTAGGTACGTTTGTGATTTTAATCTCATCTGGACTTTAAACTCTGTAAACCGACTCTTGTTTTTAAAAATATTTCACTGATCTCGTCACAGTTTCTATTTTTGCCCTGAGAGTTGCTCAAGAGTCTATGTGCGTGTGTCCCCGTGTGTCCCCGTGCGTCCTGCGGGGGGCGCTGTCCCCGTGTGTCCTGCGGGGGGCGCTGTGTCCCCGTGTGTCCTGCGGGGGGCGCTGGTCGCTGCGTCGCTGCTCCGTCGCTGCGTCCAGGCGTCTCTGAGTCTCTGTCCGCAGATAAAGTCCAGTTGTGTCTCTGTCTCTATCACAGGAACAACTCCCCCACACAGAACCAGAGCTCAGCCAGGGGCCAAACACGGGGCCAAACTCTGTCTGTGTTTAATCTGCTCGAGTGGAGGTTGGATAAATATTGTGTGTCAGATGCCCTCCCGTCCTCGCGTCCCTGATGTTGTGTTAAACTCAGATCACTGCAAAAGATGAAGATAAAAACACTTAAATCTGTCAGAAAATCATTTCAAAGAACAAACGTGCACGAGTCCGAGTCAAACAGTCTGTAGAGTCGAGGAGTAACAAATGTACCAGAGTTATGTAATCAGATTACAAGTTATGAGTAACTGTATTCAGTTACAGTTACTGTTGCAGTGAGTGGGAATTGGATTACAGTTACTTTGTTCAAATAAATGGATTAAACACAGAGGGATTTTACTGTTTTCACATTTTGGGCCTTTTTTAAAAAAAATGTAATTTTGATAATTCCACTCATTAATGAAAACTCAAACCCAAGACTAAACCAGGTCTAAACCAGGACTAAACCAGGTCTAAACCAGGACTAACCAGACTAAACCAGGTCTAAACTAGGTCTAAACCAGGACTAAAACCAGGGTCTAAACCAGGTCTAAACCCGGGTCTAAACCAGGACTAAAACCGAGTCTAAACCAGGTCTAAACCAGGACTAAACCAGGACTAAACCTGGTTTTAACCAAGACTAAACCAGAACTAAACCAGGACTAAACCAGGACTAAACCAGGTCTAAACCCGGGTCTAAACCAGGACTAAAACCGAGTCTAAACCAGGTCTAAACCCGGTCTAAACCAGGACTAAAACCGAGTCTAAACCGGTCTAAACCAGGACTAAACCAGGACTAAACCGGTCTAAACCAGGACTAAACCAGGACTAAACTAAACCAGGTCTAAACCAGGACTAAACCAGGACTAAACCAGGACTAAACCAGGTCTAAACCAGGTCTAAACCAGGACTAAAACCAGGTCTAAACCAGGCTAAACTAGGACTAAACCAGGACTAAACCAGGTCTAAACCAGAACTAAACCAAGACTAAACCAGGTCTAAACTAGGACTAAACCAGGTCTAAACTAGGACTAAAACCGGGTCTAAACCAGGTCTAAACCAGGACTAAAACCGGGTCTAAAAGAGGTCTAAACCAGGATTAAAAACGGGTCTAAACCTAAACCAGGTCTAAACCAGTAAACTAAACCAGGACTAAACCAGGACTAAACCAGGTTAAACTAGGTCTAAACCAGGTCTAAACCAGGTACTAAACCAGACTATCTAACCAGGACTAAACTCTAAACCAGGTCTAAACTAAACCTGGTTTTAACAAGACTAAACCAGAACTAAACCAGGTCTAACCCGGGTCAAACCAGACTAAAAGTCTAAACCAGGTCTAAACCAGGACTAAAACCGGTCTAAACCAGGTGTAAATCTAAACCAGACTAAACCAGACTAAACAGGTCTAAACCAGGACTAAACCAGATAAACCAGTCTAAACCAGGTCTAAACCAGGACTAAACCAGGACTAAAACCGGGTCTAAACCAGGTCTAAACCAGGACTAAACCAGAACTAAACCAGTCTAAACCAGGACTAAACCAGGACTAAACCAGGACTAAACCAGGTCTAAACCAGGTCTAAACCAGGTCTAAACCAGGAAACCAGGACTAAACCAGGACTAAAACCGGGTTAAACCAGGTCTAACCAGGTCTAAACCAGGTCTAAACCAGGTCTAAACCAGGACTAAACCAGGACTAAACCAGGTCTAAACCAGGACTAAACCAGGACTAAACCAGGTCTAAATCAGGACTTAAATCGTCCTAAACCAGTGGGTAAAGTAGTTCACTGGAGACAAACGTTGGAGGTTCCTGCTTTAAGTTTTGGTCTTTCTTCTCTTGATGTTGTGGATAAATTCTTGTTGGTTGAAGATTTGGTGATGGGGCAGATTTATGAAGCTGCTGGAGAAAACGACACAATCAGAAAACAGATGAGAAGACAGATATTTAACCGTGTGTCTCTTTGTTCCTGTGTCCAGCGTCCGCGAGGTCCAGTCTCTGCTCCTGAAAAAAGCCGCTGGACGCTCGGGAGACAAGATGGCCGCCCTCCTCATGAGGCACATCGAGAAGCGGCGCGGGCGACTCCGCTCCGTCACCGCGGCGACCGGCCACCGCGTCTCCACGGCGACGGGCGACAACAGCCACGTCGGCGTGCGAACGAGAGAGAGAGTCCTCCACACCCACAGGGGGCAGTACACCGTCCGCATCACCACAGGTACAAAACACAACTTCACTTTATTATTTATCAGGCCCGAGCGCCTGAGGCTGGAGAAGCGTCTGTTAGTGTCACAAAAGCGATGCTCCTAGTGGCCCGAAAGTGAAATGTCACAACGTGACTCGCCCGTAGAGACCAGGGACCCTCGCCACGACGTAGCAATGTGCCAGAGGTTTCTGAAAATGTGTAGTTTGTCAAAAACTGTCAGAGACTCTCCCCCCGCCCGGAGAAGACACAATGTTCCAATCGAGAACCACGACCTCGGATTTGGAAGAGCTGATCTTCACCCCAGACGCTTCACACTCGGCTGCAAACCGCCCCAGTGCTTGTTGTAGGGTTGATGAAGTCAACAGGACAACATCATCTGTGAACAGCAGAGATGATCCTGTGGTCCCCAAACCGAACCCCCCGACCCCTGAGCCGAGAAACTGTCCATGAAAACAATGAGCAGAACAGGTGACAAAGGGCAGCGAGATTGTATGGAACAATAAAATTACACAAAAAATAAATACAAACTATACAATAAACAACAACAACAGGGGAGGGCGTGGCGTTCTGAGGAGGTGTCGCCCGGGGAGACGAGGAGACGAGGAGACGAGGAGATGAGGAGATGAGGAGATGAGGAGAGTCGTCAAAGGTCACACAGAACCAAACTTCACATTTAACCTCCTAAGGCCCAAGAGGATTTTTTACATGTATTTTTTTTATTTCTCTTTGTTATTTGGGATTATTGGAACCTAATTAGAATAAAAACTAAGCATCAGATTTTGATATTGTGTATTTTTGGAGAAAACTGATGTCCACATATGTGAACTCTTGGTCCGAATCTCCATAAAACACAAGAAAGTCTCTTTGAGTCATAAAAAGAAAAACTCTTCATTTTCACCCTAAACACAGCAGTTTTTTTGTTTTTTTTCCTGACTGATTTTGCGTGTTTTAAAAACACTTACGTAACATTAGAACTTTCTGCAGTCACTGCCATCAAATCTGTGTCCAGTTCTGACCGTCGTCTCGTGGGTCCGTCATGTTTGTCTACATCAGTTTCGTCCTGATTCTCTGTAATGTTTGGGTCAGTGGAGTTTCCTTCCAGCAAATTCCACGTCCTGCACAACCAGATTTAGGATAAAAAATATTTATTTTTATATTTATTTATTTATTTATATTTATTTTGTTATAAAAATATTTATTGTGTAAATAATAGTAAATTAAATTAATGATAATAAATACATAAAATAATACTGAAAGACAAAAATAATAAGGATTCCTCTGTTTGGACACTCCCTCTTTCTTGGTTTGGTTTGGTCCTGGTGTTGACTCATCCAAATCTTCTGAACTACCAGTGTCAATCTTTTGAGTTTGACAGTGACATTTGCAAGTGCAGGACGAACCTGTCGTCATGTAAATGACATGAGTTAATCAAGTTTGATCATGATGTGAGTAAACCAGAACAGACGACTGTTCTCAGTGGCTCCGTTCGTCTCTTTTTCTGTCGCTCTCCACGTCTGTCTCGATCTTTATCAGATCTGATACAAAGACACTTTGGCTCCTTCTTTAGCAGATTAACTCCGAACATCCAACAACAACACAGATCAAAACCATTGTTATTCAATTCAAACTTTATCACACACAAATACGACACGCTGGTCCAGACGTTTGACTCCAACACGACGACACAAACACCGGGTCACGTGGTTTCGTGACACAGACGCAAAACCTTAATAGGAAATAATTTAAGAAAATATATCACTTAAAACTGTAGATGAAGAAGAATTTTTCATTGCATTATCAGAGTAAAAATATTCTAAAACTGTAGAATTTTTTGTTCTTACGAGTCAGATAAGAAAAAGTTTTGTGAATGTTTGAAGAATGTTTATAAGAAGCACTTAAAAGGTTTTATAGAGGATTTTTCAGGGAGGAGAAATACAGCGACCGTCCTTGTGCAGGCGAGACACCACCTTCCTCAGTAGAAACATCTCCTCCTCCCGCCTCTTTACTCTACAAATCACATTTGTTCACGTCCAGTTCACGTTCAGAATCACTGTTGAAGTTTCCTGTCTGGAAATAATTTATTGACCCACGCATTAGTTTTTAGACCCTTCGTCTGCTTCAATCGCGCCGTCGCTGGAAGAGATCTCCAAGAATCGCCTCAGTTCGTCTTCGCTCTTCTTCTTCTTTCAGCGACCTCAAAAACCGACATTCTTTTTGCGGCGAACCGGTCGTGGATTCTCGTCCGCCGTCTCGACAAACTTTGTGCAAACTGCGAGGAAGCTACAGTTTTAAAAAAAGCCTCTAAACCAACGGCATAAACCACGTAATCCCCGCGCGCCGACGAGTCAGTTACACTAGAACTTTGATTGACGACCTAACAGCCAATAGAAAAAGAGGCAGCCTCGTTTTCTATTGGCTGATGTTTATCTGGCCTCACTACGTCCGTCAGTTCATAGATTTTCATTCTTTTTTTTTTGGATCATCATAATTCCAAGTCTGCTGCGTCTCTGTAATGGTATTTTAAACTTTTATTGACAATTTGAAACAAAAAAATAAAATAAAAAATCCTCCATACAACCTTTAAGTACAGATGTGTTCATGAGAATGTTTCATGAATGACGCTCAAACTCTTGAAATCTTCACTCTGTGTCACGAGTCTGTGAAATATCCATGTTTGACTTTCTGAAATCGAGACAAAAATATCAAAGTTTTTCATGACGTTGGACGAGTTTCTGTGGAGTTACGGCTGTTTCCTCATTATTGCCGCTCGCCGCGCGTCTGCACATCAGAGGGATTTTCTTTTCTTCGTCCTCGTCGTCTCGGTTCTTATCAGAGGTTTTATATTTCGGTGAATAATGGAGGCGTAAACCCGGAGACGCGAGCTCCATGTTCAACAACGTCGTCTGTCCGCGAAAATAAACACCACAGGAAGTTTGTTTTGACAAAAGTGGAGCCGTTACTCAAGAAGCAGAAACTCTCCGACGCAGCGATCGAGGAATTATCTCACATGATGACTTCATCGAGTTCACACGGGGAGGGCGGGAGGGCATCTGACACACACAGACACACGGGGGGAGGTTATGAAAGTGAAGAATGACTTTAAATAAACCAGAGGAGCACGTTTACACTGCTCAGACTAAAATGTCCCACAGTGTCACATTAAACTCGTCTGTCTCCATGGATACAAAATCCACGTGTCAGTCATTCGTTCATTTGTTTTTCAATATAAAACCAAAAATTAGAAAACGAAAAAATCAACAGTTTTCTTCATTATTTGTCTCCAAAACAAAAATGAAAATGATTCGATTTTTTTTTTTTCAGTTTTCGATTTTGGGTTTAAATGAAAAATGGAAAAAACGGATTATGTGACTTCGGTGACTGTGAGGCCGGACTGAACCAGGACTGATCAAGGACCGGGACCAGACCGGGACCAGACCAAGACCAAGACCAGACCAAGACCAGACCGGGACCAGAGCTTTGACTCTCCACAGGGTCTGAGCCTCAGCTTCGAGCTCCGGTCCTGCCGTGGGCTCTGAGCCTCTGGTCTGGTGTCAGTTTGGTCTCGGTCTCGTTTTGGTCCCAGTCTGGTCTCGGTCTTGGTCTGGTCCCAGTCTGGTCTTGGTCTGGTCTGGTCTCTGGTCCTGGTCTTGGTCTCGGTCTCGGTCTGGTCCTGGTCTGGTCTGGTCTCCTCTGGTCTGGTCCTGGTCTGGTCTGGTCTGGATCTGGTCTGGTCTGGTCTTGATCTGGTCTGGGTCTCCTCTCCTTCCTCTTCCTCCTCTCCTCCTTCTCCTCCTCCTCCTCCTCCTCTCTCCTCCTCTCCTCCTCCTCCTCCTCCTCCTCCCTCCTCCTCTCCTCTCCTCCTCCTCTCCTCCTCTCTCTCTCTCCTCCTCCTCCTCCTTCTCCTCCTCCTCTCTCCTCTCTTCCTCCTCCTCTTTCTCTTCTTGTGTATTTATTATTCTGTCTGTTTACAGTGACCCAGTGAACACAGAGACTCAGTGTGCAACAGGCTTGGGTCGGGCCTGTTTCCTCTCCTCCTCCTCTCCTCCTCTCCTCCTCTCCTCCTCCTCTCCTCTCCTCTTCCTCTCCTCTCCTCTCTCCTCTCCTCCTCCTCTCCTCTCTCCTCCTCCTCCTCCTCTCCTCCTCTCTCCTCCTCTCCTCTCCTCTTCCTCTCCTCTCCTCCTCCCTCCTCCTCTCCTCCTCCTCTCCTCTTCCTCTTCCTCTCCTCCTCTCTCCTCCTCTCTCCTCCTTTCCTCCTCTCTGTTGTTCTGTTGTGGAGTGTAAAATAAACACAGAGGCTCAGTGTTCAGCAGGTTTGGGTCGAGCCTGTTTCTTCTCTTCCTCTTCTCTGTTGTTCTGTGCAGTTTAACGTGAACACAGAGCGGCAGGGGCAGCGGCAGGGGCAGGGGCAGGTTTGGGCAGCGGCAGGGGCAGCAGTGGCAGGGGCAGGGGCAGCGGCAGGGGCAGGTTTGGGCAGGGCCTGTTTCCTGTCAGTCTGAGGGACATGAGCTCATTCAACAACACGACACAAAGAAACAGTCACCGAAGAACCGAAGAACGACATCACCAAAAACAACACCATCCATCACCCGCCAGCACGACAGGAGCAGACAGGAGCAGGCAGGAGCAGACAGGAGCAGACAGGAGCAGGCAGGAGCAGGCAGGAGCAGACAGGAGCAGGCAGGAGCAGACAGGAGCAGACAGGAGCAGGAGCAGGAGCAGACAGGAGCAGACAGGAGCAGGAGCAGGAGCAGACAGGAGCAGACAGGAGCAGGAGCAGGAGCAGACAGGAGCAGCAGGAGCAGAGAGCAGGCAGACAGGAAGCAGGAGCAGGAGCAGACAGGAGCAGGCAGGAGCAGACAGGAGCAGGCAGGAGCAGACAGGAGCAGGCAGCAGGAGCAGACAGGAGGCAGGAGCAGACAGGAGCAGGACAGGAGCAGGCAGGAGCAGCAGGAGCAGAGGAGCAGACAGGAGCGACAGGAGCAGACAGGAGCAGACAGGAGCAGGACAGGAGCAGGACAGGAGCAGGAGCTGACAGGAGCAGGGAGCAGGAGCAGACGAGCAGCAGGAGCAGGAGCAGACAGGAGCAGACAGGAGCTGACAGGAGCAGACAGGAGGTTTAAAGGTGCAGTTTACATTTTGTGGTGGGGGGTTGGTCACCTGCTTGTTATTACTTTGTCTAGAATGTTCCTCAGTGTGACATTTCTTTTTTTTTTTTATCTCCGTGGAAACAACAGTCATTTTATTAAAGGTTTTAAAATAATAATTAAAAAAAAAAACAACACAGAACTGAAAAAGAGCTCTACGTTTAATGACACATTATGGAACATTTCAGGCAAAAAAGGTGAGACAGTGAGACAGGTGAGAGACAGGTGAAGGGATGAGGGACAGGTGACAGGTGAGAGACAGGTGAGGGACAGGTGAGAGACAGGTGAGAGGTGACAGGTGAGGGACAGGTGAGAGACAGGTGAGAGACAGGTGAGGGACAGGTGAGACAGGTGACAGGGTGAGAGACAGGTGAGGGACAGGTGAGAGACAGGTGAGGGACGGTGAGGGACAGGTGAGAGACAGGTGAGGGACAGGTGAGGGACAGGTGAGACAGGTGAGGGGACAGGTGAGGGGTGAGAGACAGGTGAGAGACACAGGTGAGAGACAGGAGGACAGGTGAGAGACAGGTGACAGGTGAGGACAGGTGAGGGACAGGTGAGGGTGACAGGTGAGAACAGGTGAGGACAGGTGAAGGGACAGGTGAGGGAGGTGACAACAGGTGAGAGACAGGTGAGAGGCAGGTGAGGGACACAGGTGAGAGACACAGGTGAGAGACAGGTGAGGGACAGGTGAGAGAGGGACAGGTGAGTGAGGGACAGGTGAGAGACAGGTGAGGGACAGGTGAGGGACAGGTGAGGGACAGGTGACAGGTGAGAGACAGGTGAGAGACAGGTGAGAGGGTGAGGGACAGGTGAGGGGTGACAGGTGAGAACAGGTGAGAGAGACAGGTGAGAGACAGGTGAGGGACAGGTGAGGGACAGGTGAGGGACAGGTGAGGGAGGTGAGACAGGTGAGGACAGGTGAGGGACAGGGTGAGGGACAGGTGAGAGACACAGGTGAGAGACAGGTGAGGGACAGGTGAGGGACACAGGTGAGAGACAGGTGAGGACAGGTGAGGACAGGTGACAGGTGAGAGAGACAGGTGAGGGAGAGACAGGTGAGGGACACAGGTGAGAGACAGGTGAGAGGACAGGTGAGAGACAGGTGAGAGACAGGTGAGGACAGGTGAGACAGGTGAGAGACAGGTGAGAGACAGGTGAGAGACAGGTGAGAGACAGTGAGACAGTGAGAGGACAGGTGAGGGACAGGTGAGGGAGACAGGTGAGGGAGAGCAGGTGAGGGACAGGT